TCTTCTCCTTTAAAAGACCATAAGTGCCATGTTCAAATAAGTTATAAATTATGTCATTGTGAGCGTCAAAATTTAAGTCAAGGCAGGGTGATTAGGGTGCGAGGCAATTGAAACAAACAAGAAAGTGTCAAGAGTTTGCTTGCTTGTTTGTTTGATCAACCCCTCCTTCAGTGTTCTTCCCACATGCTTACATGTTTTCTGACTCAAAGCTCTGGCACAGCTGGTCCCATATTACACTTACATCTCTACTTTCCCTCTACATTGGCTTCATATGATTTGAATTCGCATTAATCTTTTCTCAGTAGTAACTACGGCTTTTTTTTCTTTTTGGGTCACACCCATCAGTGCACAGGGGTTACTCCTGATTCGAGAACTCAGGAATTACTCCTGGCGGTGCTCAAGGGACCATATGGGATGTTGGGAATTGAATCCGGGTCGGTCGTGTGCAAAGCAAATGCACTAACCACTGTGCTATCACTCCAGCCCCGTAACTACGGCTTTTGAAGGTGAAGGACTTCAGAATATAAGTCAAGGTTTGGGTGGCAATTTACCCAGTAACGAAGTCACCCTGACAAGCACAAGATTCTAACATGTCAGAACCAAGAGTGAATTGCTTAGGACAGTCCCCCACAACAGAGACTGGCACACATCCAAATGAACAGGAACAACCAGAGCTGGCACAGATGTGGTGAGAAAGGGATTCTCATTCACTGCTGGTGGGAATGCCAACTGGTTCAAACTTTTTGAAAAACAATACATTTCTCAAAAAAATCAGAAATTGAGCTTCCATTTGACCCAGCAATACCATTTCTGGGAATTGGAGGTTCAAAAATATACAGCAGAAACACCACCTGCACTTCTATGTTCTTTACAGCACTATTCACAGTAGCCAGAAACTGGAAACAACCTGAGCGTCCAAGAACAGATGACTGGATAAAGAAACTATGGTACAGCAACACAATGGAATACTACATAGATGTTAGATAAAATGTTGCACTGTAGCACTGTCCTCTTGTTGTTCATCGATTTGCTCGAGTGCTCACCAATAACATCTCACAACAAATTGTGAGACTTATTGTTACTGGTTTTGGTATATCACATACAACAGGGGAGCTTGCCAGGCTTTGCCATGCGGATGAGATACTTTCAGTAGCTTGCTGGGCTCTCCAAAAGGGGCGGAGGAATCTAACTCCGGTCATGAAATTTGGCTATAAATAGAAGAACATGGAGAATATCATGCTGAGCAAAATAAGTCAGAAGGAGGATAGGTGTGGAATGACTTCATTCATTTGTGGAATATAAACAAAATAAATCCAAGGCCAGGAAAAAGAGGGGTCAGGAGGACTGGTCAACAGGTCAACAGTTGGAAGTTATCACAAGTGTGTGTGGGACTGAGTGTAGGTGAGAGAAGGACCGGTATAACAGTAGTTGAAAAGCAACACTTTGGACAAGAACTGAGTGTTGAAAATGGGTAAAGGGATGTACATAATAACTTTCTAGTATCTGTATTGCAAACAAAAGTTGAGAGAGAGAGAGAGAGAGACAGAGAGAGAGACAGAGAGAGAGACAGGCTGGGTGGGCAGATTGGTGGGCTAGTATGAGGGAAACTGAGGACATTGGTGCTGGGAATGTGCACTGGTAGAGGGATGGGTGTTGGAATATAGTATGACTGAAACCCAATCATTAACAGGTTTGTAATGTTCTATCTTACAGTGATTCAATAAAAAACAAAAAATAAAACTAAAGCAAAAAAAAAAAAGGAAAGATTTAAAAAAAAAAAGTTCCCCACATCGAACTGCCAGCAATGGAAACAGCCACACTGAAGCTAGTTCAGACCCAACAGCAGAAGCCAAGACTGATTGTCCTTCTTACATCTTCTCTGATTTTTTTTCTCCTGAGGCTGGGTCCATCTCTTTCTAATACCTTGTCCACTTGACCAAACACTGAAATACCTTTGTTTGCATCATTCATTTTGATTAGTATTACTGTTTAATTTTGTTATTATTTGGGAGAGGAAGGAGGTTCAGGCCACATCTGGCTATGATCAGAGTTTACTCCTGGTTCTAAGATTAGGTATCACATCTGGTGGTGCTTGAGGGCTTAAATATGGTACTGGGGACTGAACCCAATTGACCAAATGCAAGGCAAGTTCCTTAACCCCTGTACTATCTTTCCAGCTCTAATTTTTATTTTCTGCAAAAAAATCTATCCCCTTAATTTTAATGTCTATCTAAGCATGCAAAAAGTGGCAAAAGGATCAGGGTTATGGCTCAGTGGCAGAGTATACACCTTGTATATGGTGAGGCCTTAGATGGCCGGCACCCACGCACCCATCCACAGTAGTGGGTGGAAGGCACTTTCCCTTCCATAAAGTGCAGCCCTGAACTGCACTTACAAATGGGGAGTCAGATAGAAGTTTAGAGTTCCTCCCACCATGCAGAAAAGCAAAGCAGGTATGGGTAGAAGAACACTAGGGCCTTCAGAAAACAAGGCCCTTTCTCTTCTGTCTCCTATCCACAGGGCTGTCATGTCTTTTCAACACAGAAGACAAAATTTAAGTTCTTGAAGCTTGAACAGGAACTTGATGCATGTGACAAGCAGTTAGTTGAGCAAGGAAGGCTGGGGCCTGCCCCATGCTTCAGGGTAGGCTGCAAGTGGCACAGCTGAGTTTCCTTCCCATTCTCCTCCTCCTTCTCCGTAGAAATGGCACTGCTTCTAGTTTAATCTGGTGCAGTTCAGTGACCCACAGAGTCAGAATCTCACATGGGGCAATAAGACTACAGTTGTTTAGAGCTGGACATTAACCAGAGAGGGCGTGGGGAACTGGCAGGATAATTTGAGGCCCCTTAGTGGCTGCAATCCCTAATGGCCATGGTTCTGGGCCACAATTCAGCCATGTTACAGTCCTCCTTGGCCCTCTTACAGAGGCTGAGCATGACCAAAGCCAGCACGTTCTCACCTTATCCTCTTCCACACATTGTCTTAGGGGTGAAGGAACCCAAAAAAGAGTTACCAGACCTAAAGAATCCACAGATCCTGGACCAGTGGCTGAGGTTTCTACTTGAGTTATTTTTAAAGGGGTCCAATTCTGAGACTAAATTATCAGTCTTTATTCCCCTGTGCCCCAGTATTAAAGATCACATCCTGCTTCTTCCTAAAATGTTCCCCTAAAATGTTCTTCCCATAATGTTAGGGCATTTGACATCTTTGCACAATGACTAATGTTTCTCCTGTAATTTAGATATTTTCTTCCTTCTGATCAAGGAGAGGGTGGATAGAAGAGAGCCTTGTTTAGTTTTTGTATACAACGTCTTTCTCCCTGCAGACTGGCACAGAGAGGTGTATGCTCTACCAGGAATGAATAGAGAAAGAACCAGGTACCCCATGCTTGCCCACAGTACTCATTTCATGCAAGTTCCACATTCTGGCAGCGCCCACACCGGGTGAAGGTAATGAAAGAAAACACTCAGCACTTTGGACCTGGCTATAGCAACACCCAACAACCTTTGTCCTGGGAACACAGCATTTCAAGACTTGGCTTTTAACACCCCTCAGACTGAAGAGAGCTGGAGGGAGGAGATTGTAACCGACAACCCTCCCCTTTCAGCCAAACCTCCTTCCACACACCAGCACAAACCACATATTCTCATCCAGAGGGGAGGGAGGGGGAGGAGGGAAATTTGGGAGTACCTACTACCCCTTCAAATCAATTGTGCCAAAAGTTTCCAAATTCACTAGGGCCCAGCTCTTCTATCTGTATGATGATAAGCGGATAATTAACCGCCTCATTTTAACAAAATATACAGAGTGACAAGACCATCCCCGGGGGGTGGGGGGGAGGAGTGGGGGGGTGGAATCAATGACTTAAAGCTCTGCAGGGCAAAAGGAAAGAGGGCGGAGGAGATCAGCGGAGAAGCCACTGGGGAGTGGGATCAAGGTGATTCCTCTCCAGCGCTCAGACCCGGCAGCCCGCTGCGGTCTCGGAAGCCCCTTCTGCCCCCAACAAAAACGGCCCGCGGGGGCGGGCGCTCCCCGGAGGCCCCGCCCGCGCCCGAGGCCCCGCCCCGCCGCCGACGTCAGTTGTTATGTCTCGACTGGGCGCCCGGCCGCAGCTGATCTGCTCGGGAGGCGACGCGGCGGCCTCACGCGGCGGGGGCGGCGGGGATCGCGGCGGGAACTCGCGCCGCCCATCGGAGCGGGGCGGGCGCTGCGTGGCCGGGGGACCTCGGGAGAGCTGCCCGGCGGAGCCGCGTCGGGCCTAGTTCTGCTGCTCGGTTCGGCCTCCGGGACCGTCTCGCCGCGCCGCGCTCCGAGCTCCCCTCCGCACCCCGGCCCGGGCCGCCCGCCCGCAAGGCGCCGCCGGGCGGCCGGAGCGACCCTGGAGCCGCCGCCGTCGCGGCCGCCGCGCCTCTCGGGGAGCCTGCGCGGCCGGCGGGGCCTGGGGCCTGCGCGCCCGGTGCGCCGCAGCGGCGGCCGCTCCTACCCGCGCGGGGCCGCGGGCCTGGACCTTCCCAGCGCCGCCGCCGCCGCCGCTTCCTGGACCTCCCCGCCGCCCGGACCCCCGCGTTTGAGCCGCGCCGAATCGCCGGGGGGCGGAGCGGGGGAGCAGGAAGGGGCCTCCCCGGAGACGACGGCGCCGGGGAGCCGACCCGCCGCCTGGATCAGCCACCCCGGCCCGAGGGAACGTCCTCTAGCCCGCGTCCCGCTCCTCCTGCTGTCGGATGATTGGGGTCTTTTTGTCTTAAAGCGTCCCCTCCGCCCCCCGCCCCTTGGCTTTTTTCTCGCCTCTGGCCTGGGAGGCCCCGCGCCCCCTCCGCACCTCGTCGTTTCCCGGCTGGGCACAGACGCCCCGACCCACCTGCCTCCCGGCCGGGGATGAGCCGCGGTGCCAGCTGCAAAGGCCCGGGCACACGCTGAGCACACGCACCGGCCTCCCCCAAGACCACCCTCCTTCTAGCCTCCCGGGCTCTCTGCAAAGAGAGAAGACGCCGCAGGGGAAGATGTGGCTGAAGCTTTTCTTCCTGCTTCTCTATTTCTTGGTCCTGTTCGTCCTGGCCAGGTTCTTTGAAGCCATTGTGTGGTACGAAACTGGCATCTTCGCCACTCAGCTGGTGGACCCCGTGGCTCTGAGCTTCAAGAAGCTGAAGACCATTCTGGAGTGCCGGGGCCTGGGGTACTCGGGGCTGCCCGAAAAGAAGGATGTCCGGGAGCTGGTGGAAAAGTCAGGCGAGTATCAGGCGGAGGGGGAGGGTCAACCCCCAGTACCTGGTGCAGGTGCAGGGGGAGACCCGTACGTTGCTCCCTGTACCTGCTGGTGCCACACACGCAGACACATACCCAATGAAACGTTTTCTGGGAGGTTGAGCCCCTGGAAGAGCTGCTCTGGATTTCTTTGTCCAGCTTTTTCTAGAACCCCCTCCCCCCACTCCGTAAACCCGTTTGAAGAAGGGAACGAATTATTTCCCGGCGGGGTTGGTCGTTTCAAAGGTGGTATCTTCAAGCCTACTTGTTAGCATGATTGACTAAATGGAGTGTTTTTAACTCAAAATTCAGGAATGTCATCCCGTACATTCAATTTGAGATGGTTTGGCACTTGAAGTTTCTAAGGATCTAAGAAAAGAGAAAGGCCAAAATGTGATCTGTACAGAATAGCCTTCCCCCTCCCCTCCCATACACATACCCAGTAATGGTCAATACCAGAGAGGGAAATATCACTGGACTCCATACTCTCAAGGAAACATTTAGATGTAACATTTTAAGGAATGAGTTTTAGTGTAGATGAAGTACACACTGCCCAGTATGTATGAGCTTTTCATATTTTGGAGTAATGAAGGTGAGTATTTTGAATCAGTGCCGGCTTTGTTTTGAAAGGATTTATTAGGTTTCTAGCAGAATTTTTCAAGAGATGTTTGGATCTTAGATGTGTACTCCGTCACCCACTTCTCCCCACTTTCAGGTCTGGATGCTTCAACCTGGAAGGGTGGAGAAATGAAATCAAAATAGTGCCATAGGACATTTAACATTGAAAAAGATGCATTTTCAATAACGGTTGATTTGGGAGTGGGACTGAGAAACATGATTAAATTTTGTTCACTCCTGGACAAACTGTGTCTTTGTTTCTCTACACTTTCTGGAGGGAAAATGTAGTTTGAGAAAGGCATTTGGGGGTTGCCATAAGAAGCAATTTGTAAACTGATGGTTCTTTTGTTGTTGCTGTTTCAGGAATATCATTTGTGTCTTTTACTAGACATCCCCCTACACACACACACATGCACAGTCACACACATGCACACACACACTCTTATGACCTTCTAGCTATGTAGGAAATAATTGATTTCTGTGGTGTTCATTAGACATTTATTTGGTATGTTAAGATTTATTGAACTCCTGTCTCACAACCAGAGTAGAGGAAGTAGCCCATTCTGTAAAAAGTGGGTTACTTTTTCTTCTGAGAAAACAACTCTGCATTTTTCTTGCCTTTCATTTACTGATTGGTTTATGGTGATTTCTACTTTCTACCACAGAGAGAAAAATATGGAGTAACTAAAGTAAAAATAAATGAATTTTAAAAAAACCACCTCAAAAAAACTCTTGAGTTTAGAAAATGAGAAGTGCCTTTGCTGCCAAAGTCAAACACTTTTCATAGCAATAGTACTTGCAAACACAAGTAGTTGTTAATCCTGGTTTTGGGGTGGGGTGGGGACTAAAATGAATTGGTCATTTTGGTTGTTCATGAAGTCAGTCATAATCTAAAGAACACAGTCCTTGAAAACATTGTTTTAATAGACCATGTTTTAATAGCAGAGAATTCTTGGCATAGCAATATAATGTTAAAATTCAAGTATTCATTGTGAATCAGTTTGCTGCTTTGTGATACACTGTATTTTCGTATTTAATATTTAAGGCGAAGTTGATATAATTTGGCAGTGTTCTTGTTATTTGATGATACAACTCTAAATTTATACCATATACTTGTGTATGAATGTAGAATTTATATTTTATCTCAGTTAGATATCCTGTTTCTACTTTAAGCAGGTGGAGATGGCACATTTTATAAATCCATTTCTAAATCTTGTAAGTCACAAGTATATTATTAGTCAGGCTGTTCAAAATTTATTTGAATCTGAATATGTTTTATACAAACTTAAGACAAACTTTAGACAAATTCAAGAATTTTCTAATAAATGTGTGATGACACCATTCAAATATAAGCATAAGAGAAGATGGATTTTTGTGTTCTATTAAGTTTTGCCTGATACATAGTCTGTTCTTATTATATACAACTGAATGTGTGAATCTTTAGTGGTTATATTAAGGGTCTGCTCTTACAAACTGCAATCAGACTACAATACATAATTTTAAAGTGAATTAATTGAAGTTAGGAATACAGAATTTTTGAAATCTAATCAGTATTTTTGCCTTTCTTTAGGTGATTTAATGGAGGGTGAACTGTATTCTGCACTCAAGGAAGAAGAAGCATCAGAATCAGTTTCTAGTACCAATTTCAGTGGTGAAATGCACTTCTATGAGCTTGTAGAAGACACAAAAGATGGCATCTGGCTGGTTCAGGTATTGAAACAGAGATAGAAAAGAAATTGTTTTTGCCAAAGTACCATTATTCCCTTGCTGTGATACTTTTGTGTATTTGTGTCATGTTTCTTAGGTTTAACTCACTTCTCTTTGGGAGGCTCTTGGGTCCTCTCTAAGTAGTTTTTCAAATAAAGGAAAATGAAAATTGAAGAACAGGATAGGGAAAGAGGATTGACTATTTTTATTTAGAATCCGCAGAAGCAAATTCACTTTAGTTGACAAATTTTTATTACTGTAAGAAGCTTAACTTTTGGGATGGGGTGGGGGGCCGGAGCCATAGTACAGTGGGTAGGGCATTTGCCTTGCACATGGCCGACCTGGGTTCAATCTCCAGTCCCATATAGTCCCCTAAGCACTGCCTGGAGTAATTCCTGAGTGCAAAGCCAGGAGTAACCCCAGAGCATCAGCAGGTGTGACCCAAAAAGCCAAAAGAAAAAAAAAGCTTTTTTGTACTCTTTCTCTGTGTTCAGTACAGTTTTTAATTCAGTGATCCAAATTATTTTTTTATCTAAAGGAAACACTGAAGTAAAACAAAGGAATCCTCTTACATAAATAGCCAACTTAGTTTATATAGAGCAAGAATGGGCAGTGCAGAGTGCTCATTACTTTGCTTATGGTATTGAAAAGAACATTGGTGGGGATGGGGAGTGATTAGGTCACACCTGGGGAACTCAGTGCTCACTCTTGGCAGTATGTTGGGGACCAAATGTAGTGCTGGGGATTTAACCTGGAGTGACTGTGTGCAAGGCAAGTGCCTTACTGCTGTGTTTTCTCTCTGGCCCAATTAGATTCTTCTAAAACCTTGCTTTTCTGATATCAAAACTGAGATTTTAGAGCTTTTATGAAGGGTATTAAACACCATCTTTTGTACTTGCAAAGTGTGGTTTATGTACCTTTCATGGTAAATGAGTCATATATCTTAATGTAAATTAAAAAATTATTATGAATGTGATTTTATAGCATTGCCTTGTATTAGTTATTTAGCATTTTTAAAAATGTAACCTCACAACCTCACTTACGGTAACATGGGGGTAAATTTATAGCATGAATTTGACTAAATTGAATGTAGTCTGAGAATGGCTAAAATGTGGTTATTCATATCACACTGACTTGTTTGAGGCCTTGAAGGGTGAACTTGCTTGTCCAAGGTGGTATCACACTGAACTAGGATTAAATCTGAGTTCCCTTGATGTCTTTTTGCTTTTTGCTTTTTGGGTCACACCCGGCGGTGCACAGGGGTTACTCCTGGCTCTGCACTCAGGAATCACTTCTGGCAGTGCTGGGGGGATCCTACGGGATGCTGGGAATCGAACCCTGGTTGGCCGTGTGCAAGTCAAACGCCCTATCCACTGTGCTATCTAGCTAGCCTCCTCTTGATGTCTTTTATAGTGCTGTTATAATTACTGGAATTGGCAAAGTTTGATTTAGTATATAAAATTCAGAATAACTGCTTCTTTGTGTTTCTTTCTAAAAACAATGACTGACGAATGTAATAGAAAAATGCAGAATTCAGACACCTGAATCTGATCCTAGCACTAATATGCAATATGTTTACAGATAGATTTTCTATTGTACCTGGCTTCAAATGGGGAGGGGGTTCGGGAGAGAGAAAGAGAGAGAATGGAATAATAATAATTCATTAGATGAAAAGGCTGATGCTGGGGATTCTGCAGGTGATTTCATTAGATATTCAAGTCTTTACTTTCAATCTTCATATGTGTTGACATTTTATTCTGTAAATAAAATCTAATTGAGTAATTTTTTTCTTTTTTTCTTTTTTTTTTTATTAGTGAAACACCATGAGGTACAGTTGTAGATTTACAAATTTTTGTGCTTGGGTTTCGATTATACAATGATCAAGTACCCATCCCTCCACCAGTGCCCATTTTCCACCACCATGGATCCCAGTATCCCTCCCACATCCATCCCCTCCCATCCCACCCAGCCTCTGTGGCAGGGCATTCCCTTTTGTTCTCTCTCTCCTTTTGGGTGTTGTGGTCTGCAAGAGAGGCATTGAGTGGCAATCATATTCAGTCCATAGTCTACTTTCAGCATGCTTCTCCCATCCTGGGAGGATCCTCCAAACACCCTTTATTTGGTGCTCCCTTCTTTATCTGAGCTGCCCTTTCCCCTAGAATGCCTGGCTGGCCTCTAAGCCATGGAGTAATCCTCCTGGTACTGATCTCAGCTATTCTTGGGTATTAATCTCCTATTTTGTTACTTTATGTCCCCCAGATGAATGCAATCTTTTTATGTCTATCCCTCTCTGACTCATTTCGCTTAGCATGATATTTTCCATGTGGTACCACTTGTATGTAAATTTCATGACTTCATCTTTTCTAACAGCTACATAGTACTCCATTGTGTAGATGTACCAAAGTTTCTTTAACCAGTCATCTGTTCTTGGGCACTCAGATTTTTTCCAGATTCTGGCTATTGTAAAGAGTGCTGCAATGAACAAACAAGTGCAGATGTCACTTCGGCTATATATTTTTGCCTCTCTGGAATATATTCCCAGGATTGGTATTGCTGGGTCAAATGGGAGCTCAATTTATAATTTCTTGAGAATCGTCCATACTGTTTTCCAAAAGGGCAGAACCAGTCGACATTCCCACCAACAGTGAAGGAGTGTCCCTTTCTCGCCACATCCGCGCCAGCAACGATTGCTTTTGTTCTTTTGGATGTGGGCCAGTCTCTTAGGTGTGAGATGGTATCTCATTGTGGTTTTGATCTGCATCTCCCTGATGATTAATGATGTAGAGCATTTTCTCATGTGCTTTTTTGCCATTCGGATTTCTTCTTTGAGAAAGTTTCTGTTCATTTCATTGCCCCATTTTTTGATGGGGTTGGATGTTTTCTTCTTGTGGAGTTCAACCAGTACTTTATATATCCTTGATATCAACCCCTTGTCAGATGTGTATTCGGCGAATATCCTTTCCCATTCTGTAGACTGTCTTTGTATTTTGGTCACTGTTTCTTTGGAGGTGCAGAAGCTTCTTAGTTTAAGATAGTCCCATTTATCTATCTCTGTTTTAATTGAGTAATTTTAAGTTCAGTAATGGAGGAGGTTATGAGTATGCAGTTTATAAAGCATCAAATACTAGTTTATTTCTATATAATCTTACTGGTATTGGAAAATAGGCTTTTAATAATTTAAAAGCTTTAAATTATTATATTTCCTTTGCAGACATTTATTTCTGTAGTCTGATTAAGAAAGACTTAGCAGTTTTGGTCATTTCATTTTGTTATTGAAATTGATTTGAATAGTCCATTCTATAGGCCAGAGCAATAGCACAGCAGGTAGGGCTTTTGCCTTGCACGCAGCCGACCCAGGTTAGATTCTTCTGCCCCTCTCGGAGAGCCAGGAAAGCTACCGAGATTATCCCGCCCACATGGCAAAGCTACCGATGGTGTATTCCATATTCCAAAAACAGTAACAAGTCTCACAATGGAGATGTTACTGGTGCCTCCTCGAGCAAATTGATGAACAATGGGAAGACAGTGCTACAGTCAGTTCTATAGTTTATGTTTAAATGTATAGCCCATCTGCTTTATGTTTAAATGTTTTCTCTCACTGTGAATGATCCCACGGTAAAGGGGCGGTGGGGTGGGGTGAGGTAGGGGGTGCTATAAGATAGTTCAGGGGTAAGGATGCTTGCCTTCCCAATATCCCCGGTGATGGTGAACACCTTCCAGACTTGGAAGGTGGATGTCAAAAAGGTAAAGGTAAAGGCCCTCCCGTTGATCGTCGATTTGCTCGAGCGGGCCCAGTAACGTCTCCATTGGAGACTTTGTTGTTACTGTGTTTGGCATATCAAATACTCTCGGTAGCTTGCCGGGCTCTCCGAGGATGTCAAAAGTCTGGAAATTATTTTGATGTATAAGAATGCTGCTTATGAGCTGGAGATACAGTACAGCAGGTTGGGTGCTTGCCTTATGTGCAGTTGACCCAGGTTTGTTGCCAGTATTGTATATGGTTCTCCCGAATTTCACCAGTAGTGATCCCTGAAGAGCCAGGAGTAAGCCCTGAGCACAGCTGGGTGTGTTTCAAAAACAAACAAACAAAAAAGTGCTAACTATAGACTACGTATCCTATTTCATTAATTAGCTGTATATTTTTGGTTTATAAATGATCTATTTTTGTTGTTGTTGTTATTGGCCTGTAAAAGCTAACCATGGATCAAATCCCCTCCAGAGTTTACAAAAATCAAATAGTTTATTCAGCAGGTATGTGTGTGCCAGACTCTGGTGATATATCAAGAACATATACCAGACTTACTCCTTGCCCTCTTAGGCAACTCCTTTTCCAGCTGGGAGAGGAAGGCATTAAATAAATATTTACTGTAGCATGAGGGGAAAGTGTTCATAAGAAAAATTAACTGGGAAGGAAACCGAGAGGCAAGGAGGTCTCTGAATTAATAGTGCTAGGATCATAAATCCTAGTCACCAAATTATTTTTCTCTGAAAATATTTTAAGACCTCATAGCCAATTGAAAACTGACACAGAAGAAAAATGGAATAAACTTACATATTTTCTGTATATGAAAATGTTGCAATAGGGCACATTCAGCTTTTTGAGTGACCCTCCAATTTGTACTGTTCATTATAAAATTTATGATGTATGCTCCTTGGGGGCAGTGGCTTTTGTCTGACAAGAGACTGGCTTGGGCTTCCAGAACAGTCTCTGGCAGGACAACTGAGACTGGAATTGAGCCCTGGCCTTCACATGGAGAACTCACCAGCTGAGCTAATCAGCATAGACAGTTGAGTTTAAGCTCTTAAAAGGAGGTTGACTTTGGGGCTTTTTTGTTTTGTTTCATTTTTTTAGCTATAATTTCAGCTGAAAATATTCCCAGTTGCTTTTTTTCCATCCCAGATCATATTTATCTAAGCTGTTATACAGGATAACTTGCAAAAATTCAGCTTTTAGCAATTTGGATTCTTGTTCTTTTCTATTTAGTGTTCAGAAAAGCTGCTTT